ACTAATGATGTAATGTATGGTGATTAACGTAATAAAAAAATAAAATAAAATAAAATAAAAAGATTGACTATTTTTATGGTGTTTTTGACTTTCTAAAACTATTGCATGGAATAACTTAAAACTAAAGAAAAACTTTAAAAATGTTAAAATATATTCATTCTCTTTACCAGATTTCTCATTTGTTAGTCTATTTTTCAACTAATACTAAAAAATACTAAAAAAATATTGTTCACTTGAATGCAATGGTATGTAAGGTATCTTATGCTATCTAGAAAGATTAGTGGAAATGAACTAGGGTTCATTCACCAAATGAAAAATTATGCAACTTTAAGAATAAAGACACTTTTTATGTATAGATATGAAATTATCTCTAGTACTTATTAAGTAAAAACTCTTTTGTTAAATTTTGAATAGAAAAGGGGATGTTATGGAATATTATCTGTGTGTTTTTCTGAATTTGCATAACAAAATGCAGGTAGTGTCCTACAGAGTGCAGAGTGGTGAAAGTGGAGAAGTATATTAATAGAAACAGGAGTTCTTCATGTATACCTTATATTTTTATTTTTTTTAATTTTTTAAAAGATTTATTTATTTGAGAGAGAGCATGAGTGGGAGGAACAGATGGAGAGGAAGAGAGAATTTAAAGCAGGCTCCACACTCAGCCCACACGTGGGGCTCAATCTCACAACCCTGAGATCATGACCTGAGCTAAAACCAAGAGTCAGACACTTAACTGACTGCACCACCCAGACGCCCCTTATATTTTTATTTTTGAACATGTGAACATATTGCCTATTAAAAGATAAATACCCTTTGACACCCACCACACTGGCAAAAGTTGAAATATCAGGCACTATAAGTGTTGGCCACAAAGGCTTGCAAAGAAAATTCTTATGCAGGGCTGACAGAAGTGGATATTCATACACCTACCCTGGAAAATTATTTGGCATCTTGTTGTAATGTTAAATGGGTGAATGCCCCATGACCCATCAATTTTGCTCCCAGAATCACATCCTGGAGCAGGACTTCCCAGTCTAGTGTCCCCTGGGGCCCATAATTAAGATTTCAGGAATCCATGAACATGGAGAATTGAAAAAATTTCATCTTTAGTCCAAGTTGAGATTTTCTTCAGTTATCAATTTATCAGTGCAGGTGAGTAAGCCACAATGTTATTAGCAATAACTGTGACTTTATCTACGAAAGAAATCACAGCATTTTACATATTATTACAGTTGTTGCAAGTATCATCAAATGTCACATGTATTGGGGGCGCCTGGGTGGCTCAGTTGGTGAAACCTCTGCCTTCAGCTCGAGTCATGATTCCAGAGTCCTGGGATCGAGCCCCACATTGGGCTCCCTGCTCATGCAGGAAGCCTGCTTCTCCCCTCTGCCTGCCGCTCCCCCTGCTTGTGCTCTCTCTCTCTCGCTCGCTATCTCTCTCTGTGTGTCAAATAAATAAATAAAAACTTAAAAAAAAAAAATTCAAAATGTCACATGTATTGATCACTACTCTGAAATTGCGCAGTTATGAGGCCCATTGTTAGGTTTCAAGTAGTCATGTGTTACTCTCTACAGATAAGCCCATGACCTGTAGCGGGCCAACCAGTTGGCAACTATACTTAGCAGTCATTCCACCACCAAACAGTGAAGTTATGTGTTCTCATGGTGCTAACCCAAACAGCTATTTTGTTTTCCACTGTTCCCTATCATTGGTATTCAACTCATACGCAGACGCAGATGAGTTATTTTCATTGTGTGTTGAAGTTTTACAAAATTGGCCAGGGAGCCATTGCACATAAAAGGTTGCAAACTCTGGAACTCAGGAAATGCTGGCTCATGTGCACAGGGACATACAAGAATAGTCATGGTATTGCTGCTTACAGTAGTAAGAAACAGGAAGCTCCCAATGTTTATAGTAGCACTATCAGCAATAGCCAAACTATGGTAAGAGCCAGAATGTCCATTGACTGATGAATGGATAAAGAAGAGGTGATAGATATGTACAATGGAATATTACTCAGCCATCAAAAAGAATGAAATCTTGCCATTTGCAGCAACATGGATGGAGCTAGAGTGTGTTATGCTAAGCAAAATAAGTCAGTCAGAGAAAGACAAATACCATATGATTTCACTCATGTGTGGAATTTAAGAAACAAAGCAGATGAGCATACGGGAAAGAAAAAAAAACGAGAGAGAGGGAAGCAAATCATAAGAGACTCTTAAAGATAGAGAACAAACTGAAGGTTGATGGAGGGAAGTGGGCTGAATGGGCATTAAGGAGGGTACTTGTTATGATGAGCACTGGGTGTTAGATGTAAGTGATGAATCACTAAATTCTACTCCTGCCACCAATATTACACTTTATGTTAACTAACTAGAATTTAAATAAAAATCTGAAAGAAGAAAAAAGAAACAAGAAGCAATGAGTATAGCCATTAACAATGCCAAGATTTTTAAAAAAAAGGAGTTTGGTTATATATTAGATACCTTCAACCAGTGAAATGAATGAACTGTGACACGCAACAAAAGGCAAATCTCATAAATGATGCTAAGTGAAGGAAATCCCAGAGGAATTAATGAGTCCATTTAAATAAAATTGTATAACAATTAAATTAAGGTTATATTGTTTATAAACGTATATACATAATTGGCAAAATTAGGAGAGTATGGTCTTGGGATGCCTGGGTGGCTCAGTCGGTTAAGCGTCTGCCTTCGACTCAAGTCATGATCTCAGGGTCCTGGGATCGAGCCCCACATCCAGCTCCCTGCTCAGTGGGAAGTCCGCTTCTCCCTCTCTGCTGCTGCCCCTGCTTGGGCTGTCTTGCTCACACACTCTCTCTCTCTCAAATAAATAAAATCTTAAAAAAAAAAGAAGAAGAAGAAGAGTATGGGCTTGGTTAACACTAAACTCTGAATGGCAGATAGGAGATGCAAAGGGGACTTCTATAAGGAATGAATATGCCACTTTATAATCCAAAAAGCTTATTTTCACAGTGTCCTTTATTCTGTCCAAATGCACGTTATACAGTCTTTTGTGTATATTTCACAATTTAAGAAAAGATATTTGATAATTAAGAATTGGGCCCATAATAAGAGTAACATAGTTACCTGAGATACTGTTCCTGTCAATTGGCTTAAGTCTGGCTGGCTAATGGTGGTGGTTTCATCATTTTCAGTAATGGACGATAAATCAAATCCTGGAGGCATCCCTTTCTTAATAAAAGATTGTACAAAATGACTAATGAAAAAAAAAACTTCTGTTACTTTAATTTCTTATTTAAAGTTACTAATAAATAACTGCAGTTTTTTTTTATGGAGGTATAATTGCCATATAACATTATATTAGTTTCAGATGTACAACGTGATGATTTAATATTCGTATACATTATAAGATGATCACAAGTCTAGTTAACATCCATCACCACACCTAGTTGCAATTTTTTTCTTTGTGATGAGAACTCTTAGGATTTACTCTCTTAGCAACTTTCAAATATACAGTACAGCATTGTTAACTACAGCCATCATGGCTATACATTATATCTCATGACTTATTTTATAACTGGAAGTTTGTACCTTTTGACCCCACTTTACCCATTTCAGCCACCCTCTTCCTCTGGCAGCCTCAATCGGTTCTCTGTATCTTGGGTGTTTGTTTTTGTTTTTGATTCTTTAGATTCCACATATAAGTGAGATCATATGGCATTCGTCTTTCTCTGTCTGACTTATTTCACTTAGCAGAACGCCCATAAGGTCCAGCCATGTTGTCACAAACGGCAAGATTTCCTTCTTTTTTTATGGCTGACTGATACTGCATTGTACATTAAATAACAGCAGTTTTGTCAACAGTAGAAATTTCTGATTTCGTTGATTTTATCATCTTTTACATCTAATAATAAATTTTTATTTCATGTTAAAAACATTGACTTGCTTTCTACACTACTGAAGAAATATCTCTATCAGTCAATACATTGTTATAAAAATTTTCTGGAATGCTATTTTAAAACTATGGTGGTCGGGCCCCTGGGTGGCTTAGTTGGTCAAGTGACTGCCTTCGGCTCAGGTCATGATCCTGGGGTCCTGGGATGGAGTCCCACATCGGGCTTCCCTTGCTCTGCAGGGAGCCTGCTTCTCTCTCTGCGTCTGCCTGCCACTCCCCCTGATTGCACTCTCTCTCTCTGTCAAATAAAGAAATAAAATCTTTAAAAATATATATATAAAATAAAACTATGGTGGTCATCTTTAAATGTTGATGATCAGAATGTAAGAATTTGACATTTGGACTTGATTTAACTCAGTATCAGAGTAATGTATCAGTGGAATGGGACTCAGAGTCAAAAATTTGAGTGAGCCTTGAGCACTTGAGTTTATAACCGTGACGTTTGTACTAGCTACTGAAATGTACAATATTCAGTTTCAAGTAATTCTTGATATGACCTTGAATTGTCATTGTCATTCCTACAAGTTCATAGGCACAATAAAAAGACATTTGTTATAGTAAATACATTTTAGGTCATGTACTTTTTTTTTTTGGTTACGTACTTTTCTTTTTTTAAAAAAGATTTTATTTATTTATTTGACAGAGAGAGACACACAGCGAGGGAGGGAACACAAGCAGGGGAGGTGGGAGAGGGAGAAGCAGGTTTCCTGCTGAGCAGGGAGCCCAGATGCGGGGCTCAATCCCAGGACCCCGGGATCATGACCTGAGCCGAAGGCAGACACTTAACGACTGAGCCACCCAGGTGCCCCGGTACTTTTCAAAGATAAAATTAAATTTCATGTGTACAGATTTCCTACACTTTTTTTTTCCTTTGTATTCAGAGAAAGTTCTTAATTCACCTCAAGCTAAGCATCTCTGATTTACCTGAAACCGCCACTAGAGGGTAGCACAGACATATTTGTGAGGTTCTAATGCCCACTAGGCCAGGAGCCAGGAATGGGCAAATTCGGCAAGTTGCTGCAGTGTTTCAGGGAAAAGCACTTGTGATAGCAGTCACTCTCAAGGACTTGCCAAAAAAAGGGTTTGCACTCATGTTGACCTGAGAACTCTGACTGTACAGCAAAGCAGGACAAGGGATCTCTCTTCCATGTAGGATGAAATGTCGTTCACATATCTTTGTTTTTGGCTCTGCCGGATTGAATAAAGAAGCTAGGAAATTCACAACAGATTCAAACAGTGACTAGATTAGTTGAATCCAATCAGGTGTCAGAGTCACCTAGATCTGTCCACCTTGACCAGATAATGAAGCTGAAAGAAGACGTAAGAAAATCGAGTAAGGGAGTAACTTGGGGAATTCAGGCTATGGAACCAATCCATTTGTGGTGTCTATTGACACAGAGATTCAAGAAGTCTGGGTATGGCATTTTTGGATCGTGAGAAAATTTGTCCTGGTGGTCTGCAGCTATGGCTTTCAAAATCCACAAAATTTCTGATTAGTATGCAATCTCAGTCAGTTGAGAGATAATTAAAAGTTATTTGGAATGGAAAAATTATCATTTAGTGGGTAATACTAAGTATAAAATTAATTAGAAAAATTATGAAGCACTAATATTTTTATATTAAGTTCAGAAAAATTCTGTGTATATATGCTATTTTGTATTTGTAACATATGAAAGAACTTAGCATGTTATATAATCCAACAAATTAGGCTTTAAAATGTATGGCATATTTAATTTTAGCCTCATGATTAAGTTACAACCTATAAGAAAATTTTGGTTTGTAAAAACTAATAGCATATATAGGAAAAATTAAGGTTCTCAAAACACATAAGTTTGATTATTTGAACTTTTATAAGAATTTAAATACTTGGCAAGATTTTATTTGCTATGATTTTTGTCTCTTAAAGTACTTAGGGAGATAACAAAATATAGTGATGTAGCAAATGCCACTTAAAATGTTTAAATAAATCCAGCAAACTAAGTTTATTTAAAACTTGTATGGATATTAATAGATTTAGCTATAAAATAAGATTTTATGAAAAGTTAAAAGTTTGAGGGAAAATAGATTTACGAATTTGTAACGGTAACAAATTTTTGAAATCAAACGTTGCAGCAAACTGTCTTTTCAGTTGATAAAGCTGTCCCTCGAGGCTTGACATTACTAACTGCCAAGGACTATCCAGAGGAGCTCTGCCTAGGGCTCACTCCCAACCCACTTCTCAGTGGTCAGTTGTTGGTGCATAGAACTGACAGGAGCCTTGACGGTAAACGATTTGAAGAATCTCTCTAATATTTTCAACTTAAATAGAGTTCATACAATGTCAATTAACTGGCTGTGATGTAAAGAGGCTCTAAAAGTAAAACAGTGCGATCCACTGACTTCTGATCTCAAGTTTAACCGCACTTCTTCATCAGCTTCATTCCTGTCATGGATCTTACTATGTCCAAAGAAGCCTAACCCATTACTAATGGTCATTGTGAGACATTCAAAATGTTTCATGAAGTTTTACTTAAGTTTAAAAGACATTCAACAAAGGACCAGATCATAAATGTAAAACTTGCTGAAAAATCTCAAAGGAAGCATGGCCATGTCACCATTATGCAGACTAAGGAATACTACTAATATTGCCAGAGCCCCATGAGCCATGCTGAGTGTCTCCCAAGCACGGCCAGTCCTCCTCACCACAGAAAACCACCATCATGACTTCCAATACCATGGATTGCTTTTTATTTTTCTTTGCATAATGTCTGTTAGTAGGATAATTAAAAGCAACCCATGCACTTTTTCTACCAGACTTCTTTGGTCTAATTTTTTTTTTTAAGATTTTATTTATTTATTTGAGAGAGAGAGAGAGACAGCGAGAGCAGGAACACAAGCAGGGGGAGTGGGAGAGGGAGAAGCAATCTGAGCAGGGAACCTGATGCGGGGTTCGATCCCAGGACCCTGGGATCATGACCTGGGCTGAAGGCAGACGCTTAACAACTGAACCACCCAGACGCCCCTGGTCTAATATTTTTGTGTGTGACATTCATCCATGTTGGTTTGTTTGTGAGGCAGCACTTTGACTTTACACCTACATATCACTGTATCCTATTTGCCTTCGGTTTTACTCGGATGTGTCTAGTTGCAATTTTCTTTTTGTTTACGTTGTTTGATGTCAGAACTTCCTGATTCTTGACTTGATTTTTTTTTTTTTACTTTTGGGATATTTTGCCATATATATATATTTTTTATAATGTTTGGTGTTTGTTCTGTTTGCATTTTTTTAAAGATTTTATTTATTTATTTGAGAGAGAGAGAGAATGAGAGACAGAGAGCACGAGAGGGAAGAGGGTCAGAGGGAGAAGCAGACTCCCCGCTGAGCAGGGAGCCCAATGCGGGACTCGATCCCGGGACTCCAGGATCATGACCGGAGCCGAAGGCAGTTGCTTAACCAACTGAGCCACCCAGGCACCCTTGCCATTATATTTTTAGTTTGTGATTATTCCCCCATCTCTCTATCCTCTGTTTCTGAGACCCACTTGCAATTATGTTGGTCTTTTTCAACTTGCTCCATTTGTTTTTACTGTACTTTTCCTCCTTTATTTATTTATGTTTGGTCTTCATCTTTTTGCTGTATCTAATTTCTGATGAAACACATCCACCGAATTCTTACTTTCAGTTCTTATTGTATTCCTCGAATTCTTGAATCCCTAGAATCCTTATTTGATTTTTTAAAACCATTTTACATATTATTTATTCTTACATATTACAATGTTATTGATGGATAATTGAAGTACAATTAGCTGCACGAATTCCGACTATATATTTGGTAATCTTTCACATATGTATATATCCAGGTATTAGTTACTTATCACTGCATAACAAATTACCACAATTTCAGTGGTAATAATCATATCTTCCACTCATATCACTAATTCTTCTCATTATTGCTATTTGTGGACTTCCTGTTCACTTCTCTGAGCTCATTAGAAATTTTAGATCCAGGATGATAGTCTTTCTTTCCATCCCTTTTGCCATACTCAAACATTAGTATATTTGGATTTCTCCTCCTCTTCTTCCTCCTTTTACTTCTTGATTATCTTTGTTGTTCTATTTAGGGGTTTTTTTTCCCCTAAGACTGACACACTTCATCTCTCTGGTTTCTCTGACAATCCTCTGCTCTTATGATTTCAGCATCAGATAATAACCAAAAGCATTTGTTAGTGCTAATGTTTAAGTAAAACAAAGTACTTACTCTTCTAAAACAGTAGCCAAACTGTAAAGCCAGGCATAGTTAAGCTTTATTTTAACCTACTCAGAATTTATCTTATCTACTTATTACTGTGAAAAAGAATCTAAGAATATCATTTTCCTGTACTCACTGCAGCGATACAAACTTTAGTGCATCTGTCACCAAAGAATACATTTCTAACCACACAATTCACAAAATACTTCATTTGTCAACAAGGTGTATTTGTGGGAAAGAATGTCACATACTTACGTTTCTGTTGGAATTGTAAACGGAGACATCCTATAATTCAAAAATGGACTTGAAATTTCAAGAAATTGTTCGGGCTTCTTTATTATTAATTCTAGAAGAAACAGGTGGTATCATGTACTTTTTTTTAACCTTCCAAGATTAAATGCATAACTTAACAACTATTGTAGTGCTGATTACATTAACTATTTAACCAGCAAATTTTGAAAGAGGGAAATAGGAATGTACTGGGATACATAGGTTTCACATTGAAAGGCCTTATAGATCCTGTTAATATTAGATGTTTAAAGTCTACTTCTCAGTTGCTTTCCAGACTTACAATGTGAAGCAATCAAGTCTCAAGGGAGAAAGTTAACAATGTCTCCTTGTTATTACTGGTCATTCACTGCTACTTTTTTTTTTAAGATTTTATTTATTTATTTGACAGAGAGAGAGAGCGCGCGTGCACAAGCAGGGCTAGCTGCAAGCAGAGGGAGAGGGAAAAGCAGACTCCTTGCTGAACAAAGAGCCCGATGCGGGACTTGATCCCAGGACCCTGGGATCATGACCTGAGCGGAAGGCAGACGCTTAACTGACTGAACCACCCAGGCGTCCCTCACTACTACTTCTTTAAATGTTTTTCACTAAAAACTGTGTTCTTTTAGTTAACTTCTGCAAAACAATTGCTGAAACATGAAGAAGAAATTCAGACTAATACCTGGAGATGGTAGTAGAAGAACAGAAAATGTAACAAAGTAAAGGTCATGGGTAGAAGAGAAAACAGTGGCTAAAGAAAGGCCTTGTGGATCCGCCTAAAGGAGTCTGAAATTGATCTACGAGGAAGTAATTCTCAGTGGATATGGCACAGAACCCAGGCATAGCATGGTGAGCACTGAAATTGAACATTAGAGATGACTATTTTAACAAAAGCTCTTCCATGGTGGAAAGGGTAACTACTGGAGAAAAATAGTGAAACTTTGATACAAGTACATAACTTTTCTCTCCTTGTTCCATGGTAACCTCTAAAATGATCTCTCTCTTTCCCTCCCTGTTCATTTTCCTGTTAATTTTTGCCTTAAATATTAAACCCAATAGATAGAAGAAAGACAATTACAGGGTGAGCCTCGAGGTGGTATACGAGTTATGGAATCCCACCAATTTCAGATTTCTCTTCCCCAGCTTACATTAGAGCCATCATTTACCTAGAATTGCACTGTAATAGTAGTGAAATCAGAAAAGGTCAGCAGGTTCAATATTTTTCCCTTCATTCAACTATTCTTCAATGCTCTGAATGAACAACTGTTTTAAGTGCGGCTCTACACATTGAACTAAAATATAGCATTTAGAAGGAAAAGATTTTCTTTCAAGCATCATGTGAAGGCTGATCTTTGGTTCAAAAAGAGAACAGGAAATAGGATAGAAGGGAGGGAGGGAAGGAGAGTGGGAGGGAGGAATAAAAATTAGAAAGTTCCTGTACCCCATAGCAGTAGTCTGCAGGCACTAACGGCTCACTGCAGAAGCTCAACGGACGTAAAGAAATGAAATAATCAAGCAGGACAGAGAGAGGCAGATAGGCCTAATTAAAAAAAAAAAATTGACCATTTCTTCTTCCATCCAAACCAGATTATTTCTTTAATCTTTGTTCTTTTCTGGCAAAGATATAACATACTGTGCTGGAAAATTTTCGCTCCCAGCTGTACCAGTTGTATCATGTAGGCAAAAAGCAAATGTGAGGAAAATTACATGGTTAACAGTTGTAATTTGTATTTTAAAAACATGTAAATTATGGTTGGAAGTAGAAGGCAGGGAACAGGTAAACATTCCAATCTATGTGGCCAAGGCAGGTTTAGGAGCCTGAATACCACCCAGACTTAGGTATTACATGAGAACCAAGATAGGGTCTGCTGGTCCCCTGTGATGAGGGATCAACAACGCTTGAACTGGTAGCAGGAGCCTCCATCAACACCACCAAGAGAGGGTGTAAACCTTGCTCAATGGCACCAAAGGCTTAAAGTATACTTCTAAGCTTCACAGCGAGGCCATCAATGAACTGGCTCTAAGTACGTTCTTTGTGGCCTTGCCTTCATTGTTCATTTGGGTAACAGACCCTGAACACAGCCCCTAATGCAAAAACCTCTAGAATGTGATATACTGTTGCTGGAGGAATACGATTAGAAAACAATGAGCAGTCAGCAAAGACAAAGGGAGAAAATGCAAAAGCAAGGAAACAAACACAAAAGACTTTTTAAAAAAAAAAAAAGCTCTTTTGAACAAAGACAATTGAAGTGTTCTGGAATGAGAAAAATATATATACCCACATGCACACAGGCATATATACAGATAAATAATCCGTAACACACCAATTCTTTATCATCCTTTATGAGAAACTGCAAGCTCTAAATTAGGTACAGAAACACAGTAGACGTTGACTAAACAAAAATTGTGAGCTATTCTGCCAGGCCATACTTTTTAAATTATTACTTTTTTTCTTCTTTTTTTTAATCCCATCTCAGATTCTGTGTTAAAATTGATTTTTTAATGAATGCCTTTGCTCATTTCTGTTGCTGTTCAAACTTGGTGCTCATGAAAAAATGAAGACTTGGAGAGAAAAAACATGGAAAGAGTCAAGGATGAGACTTGGATTGTGAGGACGTTAGAAGTGAACTGAGAATAAGAGCCGGGAGGGTACAGTCCCCTGTCCCCCGCCTCCCCAGCGGCGGGAACCTATTTATTTCTAGCCCAACAGCCATTCATAGTGGCTTAGGACAACATTCACCTAGGAGCCAGTCCAGGCCAGAAGTTCTGTTCCTATATTCTAAACAAAGGTCAGTTTATTCTAAATATAAATCAGTTACTTCAAAGGTCATGTTCTACACGGCACTCTAGACCAGTGGCTTAAATATGCTATTTACATTTTTTTTCTATTATTCGTTGCAAACCATTTTCTTTTTTTTTTTTTTAAGATTTTTATTTATTTATTGAGAGAGAGAGAGAATGGTAGAGAGAGAGCATGAGAGGGAGGAAGGTCAGAGGGAGAAGCAGACTCCCTGCTGAGCAGGGAGCCCGATGCGGGACTCGATCCTGGGACTCCAGGACCATGACCTGAGCCGAAGGCAGTCGCTTAACCAACTGAGCCACCCAGGCACCCGCAAACCATTTTCTATCACAATAATGACAATAATACCCTCACCCAAAGAATGGCCTGGATATAACTGGTCAGTTTAGATGCGAACCAAACTGCTCAGCTTCTGAAATGTGGAGAATTAATCCTTTAAAGACATAAAATTTAGACATAAAATTGAAGGTAGGTGTTAGGTGTAATGATGGGTGGTTTGCCTTGATATACATCTTTCATTACAAATGAAACTATTAGACCTTCATGCAGAGAAAGGCTCCTTAGAAAGATTTTCAGACAACATGAACCATACCTTGAGCTTCATCTGTTATAACAGTTTCCTTTTTTTGACGAAAGAGTTTCCAGGGAGGTATGGGAGGTGATTTCAGAGGTGCTATGAGGGGGCAAGACCTAGTCCTAGTTACCAGCACAGGATGGCTACAGATGTGGGAAAGACCGTATTCTCTCAGCTTCTCTGCAGAATTAGCCTGAAGGGTGCAAGGCACATTTAAAAGGACACATGCAATTGCCTTGTGCATTTAAATAAACCACTTTTTGTCATTACAAAAACACTGTTACCACAGTAAAGGGGTAATAAAGGAAAAATAACCCATATTTCCACCTCCTAACATATGCACTATTACCATTTGTATTTCTTTTCATGTTTTCATTTTTCTGAGGCCCCCATTTACTTATTTACAAAAAATGAGAGACTAGAACTAGAAGCCAGTTTTCAGTTCTAGAAGTTTATGATCCTCTGAGATTGAAAAAAAAAAAATCTTAGCACATCGGTTTTGGTCCAAAATCAATCAACCATTATTATGATGATAAGTTAAAACTTTGATAAGGTGCTTAATGCGTGAAGTTTTTGTTTGTTTCTTTGTTTGTTTAGTCACCAGCAACTGCTACCTAGTATTAAAGAAAAAAACCCACTGCGCTTAGTAGATCAGGTCAATGTGATGGTAAGTGGTTGCCTTGTCTGTAGCTTATGCCCTCACCCTCAAACAGAGCCTCTCCCACAGGAAATCCCCATGATCTCTCTGGACAATGGAGCCAGTCATGGAAAGCCAGAGGAGAGAGGCTGCCTGAAATTCTGCCAAATCAAGCAATTCTCCAGGAAGATGCTTCCCCTGTGCGACCGTTCAGATCTCCTAAAGCTACTCTGCTGCTTTGGAACAATTCAGAATCGTGCTGATGGAGAACGTCAGTTACTAACTGATGGCTGAAATATGCCACAAGAAATCAAAAAGTCTATGAGAGTTAAAGTAATATATTCTGGAGTCAAATTCTGGCATTCACAGTCTAAATGTTGAAACATTTAAAGTAAAATAAAATAAGTACATTTAAGTCAGTTTTGCCAATAACTATTTTTCTTCCTAGTGATTTTGCATCATTGATTTCTCTGCAAGTAGCAATGCTTGAAAATGTAAATTTATAGAACAGTCATTTAAATTAGGACCAGAAAGCCCCCTATTAGCCTATTCCAAATTATTGCCTCAGCCAGAACGTCCTTGCCCTCGTGACTGTTTCGCAACAGCTCAATCTATACTTCTGGGAGGAGGAAATAGGTGGGGTATCTATGAGATAAAATAGTTCTCTCTAAATCCAGGGATTAACTATGGATTGATGATTTAATGATTTATTAATGATTGTAACAATTAATTAATAATTGGAAGGAGCTAATCAGTACAATATTGAGTCCAGAAAAGCCACTTAAAAGTGTGATAAATACGCAGAATAAAGAGGAAAGTGATTCAGTGTTTAAGGGGGGAAGCAGAGGAGGGGTGCCTGGGTGGCTTAGTCAGTTAAGCATCCCACTCTTGATCTCAGCTCAGGTCTTGATTTTCAGCGTTGTGAGTTCACGTCCCATGTTGGGCTCCACAGTGGAAACCACTTAAAAAAAAAAAGCAGAGGAAATTGTTACATCCCCTTAGCCTTTTCTGTGAATGTTAGCAATTTCTTGAGAAAAAATTTGGAAACCTCTGGTATGATGCCTTATAATGGCTTAAAAATGTTTTCTCATAGATCTAAAGTCTAAACCTTTTTCTACAACTTTTACCCTGCCAAGTTTAAAAGTTTCCCATCACTCAAAAAGGGAATTTATGGGAGAATTTATTGATGTTGTTCAATAAGACAATGCTTCAGGATAGTAACCAAAAAAAGTACACTCTAAAATTTATACGTCATCTCCAAAGTAGAAGCCATGCCCAAAGTAGTTTTTATAAATTGAATCACTTCCAGATAGTTTATTATTCATCAAATTTGGTCTACATATCTCAAATCCTTCTTATAACTGCAACCAAATACGTAGATTCTTTACTCTTTTTAGATTCTTTACTCTTTTTAGCATCAGAAAATCAAATTATTTAAAGCATTTGAAAATGTGAGGTTTTGTGTCAAATAATTAAGCATAGTATTAACACCTATTGTATTGTTTGAATCCACAAAAGTACTAGCTGGATTTAAGGTAAGTAAGCCGATTTCTTATACTTCATTTTATTTCTAACATACTTTAAGATACTTCTGAATGATGTAAAGTAATGCTTTGGATAATAGTTACAGTTTGATGTTGAGGAACTTTGTTAAGGGACCTCAAACTTTCTTACCTTAGAGTTAGGGGCAGAGAGAGATTTAGAATGGTAAATTTTCACTCAGGTGAAACCCTGAGTAGGCACTCAAGAAATATTTTTTGATATTTCATGTATAGACTTAGATTAGAAGTTTCTTTGCCCAGAAGATGCTTTCACTCCTCTGGCCCATCCCACCTCAAACATTCTTTTTTTTTTTTAATAAACTCTACCGCCAAGGCAGGGCTGGAACTCACAACTCTGAGATCAAGAGTCACATGCTCTACCAACTGAGCCGGCCAGACTCACCTCAAACAGTCTGAAAGTAGGAGTTTGAGCAAGTGGGTGGCTTTCTTAGAACTTGCAGATTACTTATTTAAATAAAACTAAAACTATTTAGAATATCCAAAAACAAGAAAAGGGGGTAATTCATGCCATCTTGTTCCTTTCCAAGTTTTCTTTTTCTTGAGTCTGGACAAATTCTTCCAAGAAATGTATTCACTTCATTTTACATATTGGTCTCATGTCTTTGGGGCTATAATTTTTAGCAGTACACTGCATTGAACAAAATTCCATTAGAATACAAACTCTTTTTCTGTTGATTTATCTTTTTTAAAAATATTTTATTTATTTTTATTTGCTAGAGAGAGTGCACACATGCAAGAGAGAGCGAGCAAGAGCACAAGCAGGGGGAGTGGGAGAGGGAGAAGAAGGCTCCCCGTTGAGCAGGGACCCCCCCCGCCCCCAATGCAGGACTCGATCCCAGGACCCTGGGACCAGGACCTGAGCCAAAGGCAGACGCTTAACCAACTGAGCCACCCGGGCATCCCTCTGTTGGTTTATCTTTAAAACATTCTATCTCATTATATTCTGATTTGACCAGGAGAACTAGATTAGCCTAATAGCTAATGTAAAAGAATCAGCAGGTAAGTTAGAGAGACTGTGAGGCTATAGCCAGTTCATTATAGCCTTGAAGTTCATTCATTATTTTATATGAGTTTCAGGTGTACAATATAGTGATTCAACAATTCACCCAGTGCTCATCACAAGTGTGCTCCTTAATCCCCATCACCTATTTCACCCAAGAAACAGACTCTTAACTGATGGTTATAGAGAACTGATGGTTACCAGATGGGAGGTACATGGGGAGATGGGTGAAATAGTTCATTTAACTGCTATTACAGACATTGGGCTAATTCCTGAACCTCTGGGTCCCTTAAGCCATTTTCAACCCCCAGAGGAAGGATTTATAACACTCTGGGTGTCCTGACTCCCTCCCACATCTCAAGCTGCCTCTGAGTCTTCTCCCCTTGCTATCTGCTCAATTTCTATTACTTCTCTGAACCCAGTGAGCTCTCCTTCGCCTCCAGACTTTCCAACAAAACATCCCTCTGCTTTGAGCACTCTTTTTCCTATTTACTAAGCTAACTTCTTAAGGCCATCACTTAAACACTTCTTCCTTTGCTAAGACATCCTTAGTCAACCATTAGACAGAAAGATGTCTTGCTGCTATGTGCACCATATTCATTTTTCTGCTCATTCATTCATTCATTTGGCCTGTCATCCAACACACATTATTTGAATGCTATTTCTACCATATGCCAGACACCTTGTATGATCTCTGTTACACCAATTTTCTAACTTTATTACTATTATTGGCTTGTCTGTCTTCTTCATTAGACTGAGTTTTCTAAGGAGGGAGTTTTGTTAGTCTTGCTTGTTACCAGGTCCTCAAAGACTAAATCATTGTTAGTACATAACAGAAAATCAATAGACATGTGTTGAATTAACAACAAACATAGGTGATCTTTTTTGTCCTTTAAATGGAAAACTAACTTTTTGTTTAAATACTAATTTCTCAGTAGGACAGCCAAGCATTCAGATGGATTATTTTTTGTGGTGTGTATGTGTGTGTGTGTGATGTACTCATCCCCTTCTTATATTTTGTAGTTTTAAAAAGTGTTTAAGTACGTCGCATAAGAGACCATGGCACTCCACAAAGCACAGCTTAGGTCATTTTGCAGTCCATGGTGTTAGATTTCTCGAATACTTAAGAGAATGGCTAGACCAGTGCCACATAAGGATTTTTTTAAAAACTGAGGGCTGAGATAGATGACCAGCTCAAATCTTACTCAGAGACTTAAATTGGTGGGAGGCCAAGGAAGCACACTTGGATTTAGGCAATGACTAAAGTTAATTAACTTTGAATTAAAATCAGAGAAACTGCCACTATCTCTACATTCATAATGGCACATTATGCCCTGTAATCTTGACAATATTACCCCTGTTAAATGGCAGACTTTCACATGAAGAAATGGTTTCTATTCAAAAAGGACAAAGGAGGAGGAAGGGAAGGAGGAGGGCCTGGAGAAAGGAGGAGGGAGAGAGAAGAAGGAGTGATAACATTATGCTGCCTGGGCAAATCATCTAGAAGACAAATATACTGCATAGTAAGTGCAATGAGCATCCAACTGGATTATTTACACTTCAACCAAATTTTCATTGAATTTTTAATATCCAACTGTTTTTAACTAACCCACTGAACATTTATGTTTATATTACTACACCATCTAGTCTTCTCCTACTTGAAGTGCAGTGATTTCAGAGCATATGGAATTCTATAACCAAAGTGCTGGATGTCTAGGAGTCCCCCAAGGGGTTAGGATTTCATAAGCTCCAAATGCAATATTGTGTTTGTCTCAGTACAGTGAAGAGCAAGTAATCTGGTGGATTTTACCCTTTACAAAGGGAGGGAGAAAAGTGATTTTTATATCTAATCAAAGTTTGGCCGACTGCACCCAAAGTGAAAGAGGCTCACCTGCTTGTATTAAAGCCCCATCCTGAGGGGCCGGCATCTTATTTCACACACACATGTAAGTGTCTGCTGGAACATTCTCCAGGAACCCCGGGGCGGGGGCCAGCTTCGCACTCTCCCTTTGCCCTGCTCCAGTACACCAGTATCTCCTGGAAGGAAGCTTTTCATAAGCCTCTGATGCCTGATCTTTGTAGCTGCCACCCAGGGAATGCCTCTTGACCGCCTGGCTCTGGAGGCCAGGGGAACTTGCCTGGTCCTATGGGTTTTGCAACCGATTTTGTGACTGCTGCCAGGGGACACCTCTCCAGCCAGTGGAGCTTAGCTTCTGTGTCCCACAAGACTGTAACCCATGGAGAAAGAGTCATTAACCAGCTGCCACCCCCGGGGCACAACAAGAGGCAACAGATCCAGGAGTTCAGTCTTTCCGTGGAGGAGGCCTATTAAGTAATCCTCTCAGGGGCAGCCTGAGGAGCAGATTTCTAATTAAACACACATCATGGGACTGACAATGATCCTTTCCAGAGACCTCGGAGGGCAAGCTCTATCTTTGTGCTTTCCCTCTACTACACTCCAGAGAACCCGTGTCTCCTGGAGGGGAGACTTACACATGGCGGGTGCCCTGGTTTTTATGTCTGGCACCCCAATTTTTGCAGCTTCCACTCAGAGGAAGCCTCTTGATTGTCTGGCTCTGGTAGCAAGGGGGGGCTTGCATTCCTGGATGCCATGGGACTGTGGCAATTGGAGAGACAGTCCTTGGCCAGCTGCCACTCCCAGGGCACTGTGCAGACAGCAAATGGAACCACACCCCCAGTCTTTCAGTGAAGAAGGACTCTTGGCTTTTCCTGGAGCTTCAGCCTGAGGCAGGCTTCAGTCAGGTGGGATTGGGCACACCCCTAGTGAACTACGGAGCTGCTTGCTCTCAAGGAGTGCAGACACCATCTTGGCATTCTCCCTCTGCCTTGTTGCACCTCACCAGGATCTCAGAAAAGGGTTTCTTGATCATTTGGAGCCCCAACTTTTTGTGACTGCCAACCAGGGGACGCTACCAGAGAACCTGGCCGCTTGCGAATCCTAGGACTGTGTATATTTGCATACTTTTTAAAAGCTGCTGCTCGTAGGTCTGACTTCCAAACTGCTTGAATCAAAATGCTAAGATCCTTCCCTTAGGGACACTGACAGGTCTTAGCACATCCTCACTGATGGGAAGCTATTAAAAATATAATAGCTTCTGCCCAGATAAGCACAAAGGTTTAAGAGACAAGCAGAACTGAGGCAGGGTTGAATGACAATCTTCATCTACTAAATGGAGCCACTCCTTCAAGACTGGGAGAGATGGTTGTTCCATCAACTGTATAGAAACTAATAGAATTAAGCAAGTGAAGAACAGAGGAATATGTTCCAAAAGAGAAAGAGAGAGAACAAAATAAAAACTCAGAGAAAAACTTAGTAAAAGGAAGATAAGTAATTTGTCTGATAAAAAGTTCAGGGTAGTGGTCATAAAAATGCTCACTGAACTGGGGAGAAAAATGGATGAACACAGTGAGAATTTCAACAAAAAATGGAAATATAATAAAGTACCCAAGAGTAGTCAAAGGGCAGAAGAATACAGTAACTAAACTGAAAAATACACTAGAAAAGTTCAACAACAGCCTAGATGAAGCAGAAGAAAGGATTAGTCAACTCAGAGACAAGGCAGTAGAACTCACCCTATTAGAGCAGCAAAAAGAAAACAGAATGATGGAATATTACCCGGCCATAAAAAGAATGGAATCTTTCCATTTGTGACAACATGGATGGATTTCAAGGGCATTATGCTGAATGAAATAAGTCAGACAGAGAAAGACAAATACTATATGCGCTATCATATGTGGAATCTAAAACAAAACAAAACAAGCTCACAGAAACAGAGAACAGATCAGTAGAGTTGTCAGAGGTAGAAGGTGGGGGTGGGAGAAATGGGTAAAGGGGGTACAAATTTACTTAAATATATATGTATATTTAAAAATGATGGGAAACCCATACATGCCATGCCACTGCTAAATTTTATGTGGTCAAATACTTAACATCATGGAAAAAAATTAATGATATAGTGTAAAGTGAAAAAGCTGGCTTCCAAAATTTAATAAATTCATAACATTTAATTCCACTGTGTAAAAAAGTATATTCATATAGACACAGAATATATACACAGAAGAAAAAAATCAAAGGGTATATCCCAAAATGTTAGCATTGCCTATGTCTAGGTATTTATACTACGAATATTTTCATTTCAATGCCTTTGTGTACATTTTCTAAATTTTCTCTAAATTGTTAGACTTATAAGAAAAAATCAATTAACATTTTTTGTGTGTATTATCTAAAGATTACAAGGAGGTTATAGTAGTAGTTGACCAACTGTGGATGTCAGTTCATTTAAATCATCTTATGTTAAGAAAATATTTATGATCTGTTTATGGAAAGGTAATTTATTATTATTTAGATATGTTTACATGATTCTTTCTGAAATATATAACTTATATGCCTTTTCTTTTGCTTAGAATGGAACAAAATGATAGTAATACATGAGTCTACATTTTTTTAAACAGGGAATTATTACAATCATCTAAGATAATTTGGAATGTTCCAGGTCCCTGTGTTCAAGTGTCTATTTTTTTTAAAGATAAGTAGACTGAAATCCAGGACCAGAATTTTAAATTCTGGTATACGTTCAATGACAACAAATATCTCTCCCTCTGTCTCTCCCTCCCTACCTCCCTCTCTCTCTTGTCCATTCACACACACACACACACATACACACTATAAATGGCACTGGGCTTCCTGGCCTTGAGTGCTTACCATTTTTTCTAATGCAAAGATCTTCTTTTCAAATAAATAGAGGGGTGTAAAGGTAGCATATACAACCATGTGAGGAGACTGTATTGCTGAAGAACCTGTAAAAAAAACATATATTGGTCATGGAAATTCTCGCCAAATGGGTTTGTCAGTAGATCATTCCAGATTGTTCAAATTCCTTAATGGGCATATCTTTGCACGTGAAAAATAGGTAAATGACTGTAAATGTATTTAATAAATGTTAAATGTCACATATGCTTCTATTTTATAGAACATCTCATTAGTATTACCTTCATCTTAGTACCATTTAATTGCTTAAGAAATCATTTTATGTCACTATAAAAAAAAGTTATCAGAAAAACTCTAGCTACTAGTCAATGTCACTAGAAGAGTCTACAAATGATTATATTCAAAGGAATGATTTTAAAATGAAATTTTTTTAGCTTTCATAGATAAAACCTTAATTTGAATATAAAGAAGTTCAGAACTTTCTATGTCATTTCAAGAAGAAAGAAAACAAACTAATCCTTCCATGAAGAAGGAAAACTAAGTCAGTAACTTAGCCAGGATTGTTTTATATGTGTGTGTACAGAATTTCCTGGCCAAATATATATATATGTGTGTGTGTATATAATATATTTATTTATTTATTTATTTATTTATTTATTTATTTATTTATTTCCAGGATAGTTAGCATACAGTGTTATATTAGTTTCAGGTGTACAATATGGATTACTTAATATTTAATGCTTCTGAGCATCACTTATTTTTTTCATATTTCTTAACAGACCTGAAATTACTATATTTGATTCAGTATGCTTTTGTTCTTTACAGATTCTGGCTAAAATGGTATAATTTATTTTCCTCTATTGTCTTTATTTTTTAATTAAAAAGTTTGTTTTATTCCTTTACAAATTCAGGCACTAATACTGAACTGTATTAGATATTTATTAAAGAATAATATTTTTAGACCCACAAAATATGTTAGATACAGGATCTCTCTAGAATAGATTAAAATGTAAAATATACCAAACTTATGAAAACATATTTTTACACTTAAAAATTAAGCTTGTATATTTTTCATGGAGCAGAGACCTGAATTCAGGCATGTATGTATACACACACATACACACACGTATATACATACATATATAGTTTATATACATATATACACATATATATTTATTTATACAAAGGAAGGCATATACTAATATATATTTGTATACACTAATATGTAATTATATTTTATATTTATATAGTTTATAAAATTATACATTAATATTTATAGATATACAATATGTATCATATAATATATGTTGTATTTTATGTATTATACTAAATATAACAATATATAATAGATTATTTGTTATGTGCTAATACATAGCATATACACTTATTAGTATATGTCCTCCTCCATGCAAACACTTCTGTGACTGTTGTACCATAAAAACTTGGACAACCTTGGCTTCTGTCTCACATGTAAGACTTTGCCCCCATATGCATAGTAATTTGAGAGTTTAACAATTATGAGCAAACTTGAGCACATTTATTTAGATAATGTCTCAACAGGCAATACGCTCTTGTATTCCAAAGTGATATTCCAACTTTGTAAACTCCAAAGTTTCCCAACATTTTAAGAAGTAGCTAAAATAGCTATTACTCTAGCATACTGAAAGCTTACAATCTGACAGAGACTGCAGAGAGTACTGTACATCTGATGAGGGTCTTGAAGCATGAAGTGACCATTTGAATTTTTCTTTTTCCTTCTCTTTTTCTCCATTTTTACTCTTCTTCTTCCCGACATCTTTTGCATCTGCTTTTTCTAACATATTAAAAAATAGATATGATAAATCTTTTAACTACAAAACCTCAAACTATATTACTTATTCAGTTATTATGTTGAAAAGAAGGCCAAAACAATAGTGTTATTTAAATGTAAAACTATAGCCACAAATTTCCCAAAACACTACTTACCTCTAATTAGAAACATCAAAATAAAGTAAGAGAAAACTTTGAAAATTGACAATGTACTGCCAAAGACATGATTACTGACTACACATATTTTTTTGCTAAATGGAGATGATCATTAAATATAATTTATATTATATATATTAATATATAATTTTATATATTGTAAATAATTTTAGGCTAATTTTCTCATTTTAGAATGAGGCTAATTTTCTCATTCCTTCTACTGCATCATAACATATATACATCTGCTGTTTTCTCACAGAAAATGCTCTTTCCCTCATCTTCAAGAAATCCCTCTCATCTTTGCTAACATAGCTCAAAATTCCTTAGGGAATACTTCCCTAATGTCCTAGACTAAATATGAACTCCCATAGTTTTCTGTATTTTCCTCCAAGGCTCATGTCTTAGTATATGGTTATGGTTTTTAAAATTAAAATTAATGTTAGTCTCTCTCCCTAGATCATAAGCACTAGGAGATAAGCTTCACAGTGGATTTTGTTCACTGGATGATCATTAATTCCTGGAACATTTATTGGTATTCTACTCAGCAAATAGTATATCTGAATGGATGGATGAACATATGTTAATTTGTGATACATGAAAAAGGGCTTCTAAGTTCAAATTAATTTAAGATATGCTAGGTAAAACAAATTTAATCAGCCTTCTTGTTCTGCTTTCTTTCATAAACTAATGCACATTAGGTCATTTAAAGAAGGGCTTATGATAGGCAGATATCACTCATACACTTGATCTTGGTAAATTCTTGAGGAACATTTATAGTAATAATTTCTGTGTGGTAAATGCTGGTAAATAAGATCTTGATAAGGAACAATTTGGGCAAAATATAAGATTTTATAAAACAAATATTTGAAAGATCATTATAAAAGCTCTTGAGGTATATAAAAAAGCTGAGTATATTCTAGTATATTTAATTCTACTTTACTATAAAAGCATTATTATTCATATGCATAGCTATATGAAATATTTTAGAAAATATAAAATAATTATTCAATATATTTCTTCCTTTAAGATCCTACACAGTAAAATAGCTTGAAATTATTTTATTTTGAAATTTGAACTTCTACCTTACAATAAATGGTCAGCAAATCATAATCCATACTGTGTCTATTTTGCATTTCCTTGGTGGGGGGAATAAAAGACAAAATAGAACAACTTTCCCTTTGCAGTTTTGCTCCATTCCACTCTACATATAACATATAAGGAAGTGTGTGTAATAGAAATTGACACTTAATGTCTCTTCTTATGTTAACACTATACTACTTCAGTATCATCAAAATATATAGTTGCCCTTGATTTTAAAAGACAGCAAAATATGGGATAATAACTAATATCTAGTAAACTACATTACTAGTTCTAAAATCCTAGAAAGATAGGATCTTAATTATTTTCACAACACTTAGTAAATGATAATGACAATAAATAATCATTAAATTCAGCAACGACTGTAGAACATTTATATGCAATATCCATATTGAACATACGAATGATATTATAATACAAAATGTCTTACCTTTTGGAGCCTTGTCACTTTTCTCAGGTATCTTTAGTGCTGTCACTGAACCTTCAGGTTTGAATTCTTTGCCATCCTTCACTTCTTTCCCTGGTTCTTTTAATTTGGCATCTAACACAGCTATTTTGCTTTCAGAACTGGACTCAACTGACAGCTTAAATTCAGGCAATATTTCTTTCAAGAGCTCCCATACTTTGTCCATATATCCTGGTCTTAGATAAAACACATCAACATTAATTTCCAAATAATAAAGAAACAGAAAATCTTAACAGACCAATTACTAGCAAAGATATTGAATCAGCAATCAAAACAATCACAACAAACAAAACTCTAGGCTTCACTGGTGAATTCTACCAAACATTTAAAGAATAATTAATAATTAATACCAATCCTTCTCAAACTCTTTGGAAAAACATAGAAGGAATACATTCTAACTCATTTTATAAGGCCATCATTACTTTGATACCAAAACCAGACAAGGACACCACGAGTAAAGGAAATTACTGACCAAAATCTCCGATAAACATAGAGGCAAAAATCCTCAACAAAATATTAACAAATAGAATTCAACATACATTAAAAAGAAATATACCATGAACAAGTGGGATTAATTCCAGGGATGTAAGTATGATTCAACATTTGCAAATCTATGTGATACACCAGATTAACAATGATTATGATTTTTATCATTCACTAAAAATCATAAGGTCATCTCAATAAATGGAGCAAAAACATTTGACAAAATTCAACATCCATTTATGATAAAAAACTCAACAAAGTGGGTATTGAGAGAACATACCACAACATAATAATGGCCAAATATGACAAGTCCACAGTTAATATCATACTCAATCAACTGTGAAAATCTAAAATATTTTCCTCAAGATCAGGAACAAGACAAGGATGCCAACTCTCACCATTTTCATTCAGTAGTATTGCAGGTCTTAACCAAAGCAAGTAGGCAAGGAAGAGAAATAAAAGACATCCAAATTAGATAGGAAGAAGTAAAATTGTCACTATTTGCAGATGACATAATATATGTAGAAAACCCAAAAGATGCCACCAGAAACTATTAAGCCAATAAATGACTTCAGTTGGGTTGCAGGATACAAAATCAATACACAAAAATCTGTTGCATTCTATACACTAAATGAATCATCAGAAACACAAATAAACAATCCCATTTACAATTGCCTCAAAAGGAATAAAATACCTAGGAATAAATTTAACCAAGGAGGTGAAAGACTTGTACACTGAAAACTATAGGATGTTAATAAAAAGAAGTTGAAGATGACACAAATAAATGGAAAGACATTCTGTGCTCATTGACTGGAAGAATCAATATTGTAAAAATGTCCATGCTACCCAAAGTCATCTACAGATTCAATCGCAATCCCTATCAAAATTCTAATGACATTTTTTACAGAAATAGGAAAAACAATCATAAAATTTGTATTGAGCCACAAAAAAACTCTTAATAGCCAAAACTATTGTGAGAAAGAACAAAGCTGGAGGCATCACACTTCTTGATTTCAAACTATGTCACAAATCTATAATGATCAAACAGTATGCTATTGACATACAGACACTTAGATCAATGGAACACAATAGAGAACTCAGAAATAAACCCACCCATATATAGTCAATTAACTTATGACAATGGAGTCAAGGATACACAATGTGGAAAAGATAACCTTCTCAAGAAATGGTGTTGGAAGAACTGGACAGATACATGCAAAAGGATGAAACCAGACCGTTATCATACACTATACACAAGAATCAGTTCATAATGGGTTAAAGACTTGAATGCATGGTTTTATATGTTTTTTTTTAAAGATTTTATTTATTTATTTGAGAGAGAGAGAGAGAGCACATGAGAGGGAGGAGGGTCAGAGGGAGAAGCAGACTCCCCGCTGAGTAGGGAGACCGACGTGGGACTCGATCCCGAGACTCCAGGATCATGACCTGAGCTGAAGGCAGTCGCTTAACCAACTGAGCCACCCAGGTGCCCGGTTTTATATGGTTTTACCAAAAAACTCCTACAGCAAACATAGGCTTTTTGATGTTGGTCTCATACTGTTTTTTGTTTGTTTGTTTTGGATTTGACTCCAAAAACAAAGGCAACAAATGCAAGAATAAAAAGTAGGGCTATATCAAACTGAAAAGCTTCTGTTTATTTGAACCAAGCAACAGCTAGTTTATCCTGCTGAAAAGATGCTTCAGATGGTAGAATCCAAGTTACTGGGGGCTGAATTCAATCTCCTCTAACCTGGACCCTTTGAGAATGGTAGATTCCCAAAATGAATCAAAGATTGGAGATGATCCAAATTGATAACTGCACTATGGATTTGATCTTCTTGTAAAAACCAAACCACTCTGGGCTTCAGTTTCCTCATTTGTAATGACATATACCCAGCTGATGAGGCCGTATGAATGATTAAATAATATTTTCAGGACTGTGGTTTTTAATTAGAAATAATATATTAAAGTGCCTAAGGCCCAATAGGTGTTTCATTATTATTAATTATTTCCTAATATGTGTAGTTAATTAAAGGTCGCCTTTATGTTTCTGTATTGAATAAGTGTAGTAGCTGTATAGATATAAAGGGATGCATGTAAATATTTTACCATAATAAAGAATTAACATTGTTTTCATATTTGTAATCCAGATATTCAAAGATTAAATTCACAGTCTTTTTAAGGAAACAGAATTTATCCTGAAATTCTCAAGGAATTTTATAGAATACTCTAAAATAGTATTTTCACAAACATTTTGTAAAATGTGTCATTTCTTAAAATTTTCTTAAAGATTAAGAATGTTTTGGTTCAAGAAACATTACTGGGGAGGAAAGAAAAAAATATATGAAGAACTTAATGGTAAAACCTACTGGAGAGAGATCACTTCTGGTAGCCATCCTGTAAGTGCATGGATAACAGTGAACTCCCCTAGGTCTCTCCTCTCCGCTATATGAATGCTAAAAAGGCAAATGCACAATAGTATAGTTAGTAACATTTGAAAACAGACAGGTATATAAGGACTAGGAATCTTTAATAAACAGTGATATTGCCATAAAAAATGTAGGAGTCATAGTGGTTATATATTAGAATACAAGAAAATACTATTCCAACAGCCAGATGATTTGTTTTGTTAAAGCGCTTAAAGAGATCCAAAGATAAAATTTCATGTTTATTTTAAAAACATGCTATAAGCCTTATTTTAAAAAGATATAAATTAATATTCATGTCATATACACAAAACATATGCACATATATAAAATATATAAATTTAGATGCTATATATTTTATATATTCATTATGCTAACATGTTCTTTAAAAAATAGAACAGTGTCTTTTATCTTTCTGGTTTCAGTTATTATCCTAAGATGTCTATGAGGCTGTGTATTAAATCAGTCTCATACGTGGCAGGTCAAGATGGTCATCAGATATCCCTAATTAAATCCTTAGATAATTCCAGAGAGACTAGAAACATCTTTTATCCTATTCAAAAGAGTAGATCTGCCACCATAGCATAAAGTCCAATGAGACTGTGAATGACCGAATATCACTCTTCCCATTTTAGTCCTTTTGTTTTCTGAAGTGATTAGTCTATTTACATTAACACACATAAATGTCGTACCCCTACTGCGGCCGGGGGTCACAACTTCAGTCCACCATGTGCCAACAGGGGTGATTGATAGTATTGACCATATGTGTCCTTTTTCAGAAAGAAATCCTACAATCTTAGTCACATGTTCTGTCATTTATAAACTTGCATTGGTTTATTGTTTATAGATTATGAATTTTGATGTGTCTACATGTGTCATAGATAACAAAAATCTCTTGGGGTAGTTCACAGTCTAGTCTAAACTCCTCTGTGGATAATCTTATTTAGGAAGCAACTGTGCAAACTTCATAAAGATAATGTTCTGTCCTTTGCATAGCTCACAATGATATTGACATAATTACTACATATTAATTTTTAACGTAGAAAGCTAAAACTCGTATGAAAATAATTGCTATATACTATAAAATCTGAGAAAAAAATGCATAGACAAATATAAATTGTACCACACAGTTTAGGTGTTCACTAGAAAGCCTCAGAAATGTCTTACATTTAGTCTGGTCCTTTATTTCCATGCTAGATTTATCTATTTTTTAAAATAACAATAATCTTATTTCTTACGTTGCTATAACATTCTACAGAACTGTAGCTTTAAGAAATACAAAATGCCACTCCAGTTTTCCAGGTCACAGTTTTAACACTTCACTGATGTTAATTCAGCTCTAATTCTCAGAACTTCAAGTTAGGTCTGAGAATTAGGAACAAGAGGAATGTTATTTTCTTTCAAAACAAACAAACATAGCTGTCACCAGTATGAATACTTAGTACTATTCAGCTATCTAAAAAGATCTGGGCTAAGTTCTTTTTAAAAAAATCATTGAAATTAAGAGTTGTGAGCTGGGTGAAACAAATTCCAAACAAAAATTGAGGGTTGGTGAGAGAAAAGAGAGATGACAAGGATGGCGGTAAGAGTGGCTGGTTTTGTTGTAAAGCCTTGGGGGGAAAAAAGGAAGGGGAGACAAAAGAAAATCCACAAAAAGCAGAGCGGGCTTCTGACGGACAAGGGTGTGTTTCCTGAAGGGGTGGAGGCTGAGCTCTGAGACAAGGGCTAAAGTGGTCTCTGTTAGAGCATGTGGGTGTTCCTTTGAGAATGAGGTGCTGTCACACCCTGCAGGAAGGTGAAGGGTATCAAATTCAAGCCAGTGCAGTGTATGTGAGAATTCTCCCACTGAGCAATGATATGAAGTTGCCACGCCTTTGCAACTTAAGCATCTAAACTATTTTTGCTTGGCTAGGGTGGGGATGGATTGACCTAGGGTCTCCATGGGTGGAAGCCAAGAGAATGAACATGGCAGACATGTCTCATATACGCTGATGCACAAGACATGCAGGAATGGAAGACGCAAGTGGATTTCACAAGAGTATTGAAGCAAGGGGTGCCTGGGTGGCTCAGTCGTTAAGCGTTTGCCTTTGGCTCAGGTCATGATCCCAGGGTCCTGGGATCGAGCCCTGAATCCGGCTCCCTGCTCAGCGGGAAACCTGCTTCTCCCTCTCCCACGCCCTCTCTTGCTGTCTCTCTCTGTCAAATAAATAAATAATAAAATCTTTAAAAAAAAAAAGAGTATTGAAGCAAATATGAGTAGTTTTCATCACGAATGTGTTAAAAGGGACCAATGTTAACAAAAATATGAGGAGCATATTGACATCCCTCAGAAGAGTTCAGGTTTTCAAGATTAGTATATTATTGCTGCATATACAGAACTAAAACTTGAACTGGATTCCAGGATATATTATTTGGCATTTAGATGAACCAATATTTCCCCCTACGAAACAACTTCTTTCTCACACTAAGCTGAAACATTATTTTTCAGGATTATTTGCCATTCATCCTATGAAAGCATTGGATATAGAATAATTTTTGAGTATTTTCTCTTGGGAGAATATTGTGTTATTGCTGGCTAACCCAATATTTCAAATTAGTGGTTTTGGCATATTCATTTTTATATCAGAACATTTACATTGTTTGGAAAGAAAACTCCTTTAAATTTATTTTAAAAAATAAAGATATGCAATATATCTTGTGATATATCTCGTGATAGATGTATAGCTGTTTGTTGTTTTTTTGTTTTTATATAAGTGAGTGATCATTCTTCCTTCTACATACTCAATATTTGCCAGTTTAATGATAGCTTTACACAGAAGCATTGGCCAGAGTTCAAATTCATAGGTTGTGGCTGGAAGCAATAGATTGTTGTCTTCATCAAAAGGCAAAAAGTCATCAATAGTAATCTTTCTCCAGCAACCCTAAACAAGAGAAGAAAGGAACGCATCAGTGACTTACATTATTTTCTCTCATCCATTATTGTACATCACTGATGTGACTCTTTACTGTTTTTTAATTTTACCTTAGCTTCTTACATCTAAAAGCCTGGCATACTGGTTTCCAATACTACTGTGGCTGAGAATTTGAGTTGATTGTTTTATTTAATGTCAGCACATCCCTATCTATATCAACAGTGTCACTATTTCTGACGTCTTGTAAACACATTCTTGGGTGCCCTATCCTACATAATGTAGTCAAAGTGTTTCAAATAGCAGAACCAAAACATTATATGGCCATGGATAAGTTTGGCCATAATTAAATAACTCAATATAGTCATAACACAAATTCTCCAAATATAAGTAATTACTGTTTATCCTGCTAGACTCAGTGATATTAAACTTCCAATTACCAGATTGCTTCTACTCCTAATTAAAGATCTAATTCTTAACATGAAGTTAATTAATACTTTATTTAATAAAATCATGATATATTTTCCTGTATACATATTACTTCGCAATTAAAAGTTTAAGACAAATGATAACACTAATGATTATGAAGTCAACAAACTATATATTTTTTTAATTTTGGTTTTACATGCAAAATTTTATCATGGATTTATTCTTTTGCCCAAGAAATATTTTCAGCAGTAACGCAAACATGGTGAACCTAAAGATCTGCAAAACACATGGCCTAAACCATTGCATTGCTTACAGTCTAGTGAGGGAAGACACATAGGCAAACAATTTCAAACATAATATGTTCAAAGTGTTCTAGGACTGGAAAAGAAGGTGTGACAAATATGGTTGTGGAAATCTTCACAAGAAGGTAACATCTGAACTAAAGATTCAAAGAACAGTCTACTTTTCCCAAGCAGATAGGAGCAATAGGGTGAAACAAGGTTTCTTTGCATGGCACGTGTAACTCTGAACTCATGTTGCATGTCTTTCTTTCTTCCCTAACGGAGGATATAGGGCAAGACAGGGTTAAGGCACAGGTGTTTAGCCACTCTCTCTTCTAATTTCAAATGATATGACCCAAAAGAATACCCAATGAAATAAGTCAGATACAAAAGGACAAATATTGTATACTTCTACTTATATGACATATCTGGAAAAAAGCAAATTTGCAGAGGGGCGCCTGGGTGGCTCAGTCGTTAAGCGTCTGCCTTCGGCTCAGGTCATGGTCCCAGGGTCCTGGGATCAAGCCCCACATCGGGCTCCCCGCTCGGCGGGAAGCCTGCTTCTCCCTCTCCCACTCCCCCTGCTTGTGTTCCCACTCTCGCTGTGTCTCTCTCTGTCAAATAAATAAAAAATATCTTTAAAAAAAAAAAGCAAATTTGCAGAGAAAAAAGACATGATAGAGGTTACCAGGGACTGGGAGAAGAGGGAGATGAAAAATTACTGTTTAATAGGTACATACAGAGTTTCTGTTTGGGATGATGAAAAAGTTGTAGAAGGAGATAGTCTTGATGGTTGTACAACCTTGTAAAAATATGCAATGCCTCTGAACTGTACATTTTTAATAGTCAAACGCTAAATATTACATCATGTATATTTTACCACAATAAAAAATAATAATAATAACCATTCCCTTTCTACACTTTAATTTTCAAAAAAAAGCTTTGGAAGGAACCAACGGATCCCTATGAAGGAAAAGTTTTAAGCCGACATAGGAACTTAAGTTAAACCAGTTCAATAACTATCATCTGCTTCCAGCTGACCAGCTGAGAATGCTTGATTGCTAACGTACGGTCTAAACAGATGAACTGCATGATATGTGATTGCATCTCAAAAAAGCTATTATGAAAAATAACTGGGATAAGTGTTCAATATTACATATCTAAAACATAATTTAACTAGACATAACAATTTTCTTAGGAATTTTTATGATTCTTTGATATTAATATGTGGGTTGGGTTGCTTCTTTAAAGTTTATGAAGAAATTAAATTATATATACAGGGGCACCTGGGTGGTTCTGTAGGTTAAGGGTTTTGCCTTTGGCTCAGGTCAAGATCTCAGGGTCCTGGGAGCCACATGTCGGCCTCCCTGCTCAGAGGGGAGTCTGCTTGTTCCCCTCCCTCTGCTGAGGCAGAGTTCCCCTCACTCGTGATCAGTCTCTCTCTCAAATAAAAAAAATCTTTAAAAAATATATTATATATGAATACATAATATATAAATATATAATATAAATATTATATATGAGATGTCATCATAGAACATTAATTTTATTTATTTTAGTCCTTATCATAGAATACTGAAATAACTTTTTTTTAACTGCATGTAAATGACGTATATTGGGCAGTTTTTACTGAGTTTACTGTGTTAACACCACATAATTTTAAATGACTACCAAAATGTTTTATTACTTAGCATGCTTATGAAGAAGGATGCCTCCTTTATTAATATAAATATAAATTACCAAGTTACTTTAGAATGCAGTCGTGTTCAAATTTCAATATCTCCCACACTTGAATTCTAGGTCAAGATAACTAAATGGCTACATAAATTTATATCCTCTTCCTCCTATGACTATACTAAAGAGATAATAAAAAATGCTTTTTAATTACTCGCATCAATCACAATTACAAAAGATCAGGGACAGAGATTTGAGCAAATACCTGAATGAGCGTAATTATATAGAAAGGACAGAGCCCTGACTGCACTCCCCCACCTTCACCGCAGTAACAGGTGGTACCCCTTCCATACAGGGCCTGAAGGTGGACTTCTGTGCCTGTCCTCAAGTAAACAAGGTGGTTTCTCTCCCCAGTGGAGTCAGTGGGCAGAACTAGGACTCCCATCTTCCTCCTGCAGTAAAGAGGAAGTGCTTTCTGCATTAGTAGAGCCTGTTGGAGGAACCCTTATTTCCACACTCTACCCAGGCAGGAATGAGGCAGTACACTTCCCTTCGTCAGTGGGTGCTCAGGATACCGTGGGATGGAGTCTTATCATCTGGATAACAAACAAGAGTGGCAGAGCCAAGTAGCATTGCACAGGCTTTGTAAACTAAATTAACATTTGAAACACAGCCCACAGAAGTGAGCCAGGATGTGTACTCTGAATCTAAACAGGTTGACTATGTGCTAAAATAAAAATTCAATTAGAAAACAGTCATAGAACGCTAAAAATATCCAGGAAACTGTCCAAAATTACTCATCATGCAAAAACCAGGAATATCTAAATTTCAATGAGAAAATGAGAAAATACAGTCAACAGACCGCAATACCAAAAGACAGGGAATTTGGAATTTTTAGTTAAGATATTTAAAGCTGATGTCATAAGAATGCCCCAGGAAGCAATTATGAATACTCTTGAAACAAATAAAAAATAGAATATCTCAGCAAAGAAATAAAAAATATGAAAGAGGAAACAACCAGAAATTTTGAACTTAAATAAAACCTTCATAGGGAAAGATCAAAACAGGATGCAAATGGCAAAGAAATTAGTGAACTGGAAGTTAGTTCAATAAAAGTTATGAACAACAGGGGCACCTGGGTGGCTCAGTGGTTAAGCGTCTGCCTTCAGCTCAGGTCATGATCCCAGGGTCCTGGGATCGAGCCCCGCGTCGGGCTCCCTGCTCTGCAGGAAGCCTGCTTCTCCCTCTCCCACTCCCCCTGCTTGTGTTCCTGCTCTCACTATCTCTCTCTGTCAAATAAATAAATAAAATCTTTAAAAAAAAAAAGAAAAGAAAAAATTATGAACAACAAGGAAAAGTAGATGTTTTTAAATGATATGAACCTCAAAGATCTGTGAGACTATGAATGAAGATATAACATGCGTGTCATTGGAGTCCCCAGAAATGAGAAAAAAGGAATGGGAGTCTGAAAAAATATTTAAATGAGTAAAGGCTGAAAACTTTCCAAATTTGTCATAAGACATGACTCTACAGTTTCAGGGAGCTCAAAATATCCCAAAGAGGATAATCTCAAAGAAATCTACACCCAGACACATCACATTCAAATTCTGAAAATCCAAGACAAAGAAAAAAGCCTTAAAAGAGCTAGTGAGAAAAGAACACCGGATTGCTCTTCAGAAACCACAGAAGCCAGAAGGAAATATCCAACTAGTTGTCAATGCTGAGAAAAAAGGCCTGCCAACCCACAACACTGTACCAGTGAAAATATCCGTTAGGAATAAGGGTGAAATAAAACATTTTCAGACAAGGGGCATCTGGGTGGCCCAGTCGGTTAAGTGTCTGACTCTTGGTTGCAGCTCAAGTCTGATCTCAGGGTTGTGAGATCTAGTGCCAAGTCGTGTTCTGTGTTCAGCGTGGAATCTGCTTGAGCTTCTCTCTGCTTCTTCTCTCTCCCCTCCCCCTGAACTCTCACTCACTGAAATAAATAAATAAACCTTTAAAAAAATTTAAAAAAAAAGTTAAGATAATTTACTACCAGAAGACTGGCCCCAAAAATGATGGTGAAAGGAAATTCTTGAAAAAAAAAAAAAAAAGGAAATGGAAGAAATCTTAGGACATCAGAAATGAAGAAAGAGCAAAGAAAAATATAAACATATGTATGGCTAAATACAATAAAGTATTCTTTGCCTCTTGAGCTGTAAAAATTATATTTGACATTTAAAAGCAACATTTATGAGCAGGTTCTGAATATGTATAAAGAAAATATCTAGATAGCTATGCTATAAAGGGAGGGGGATAGAGGGTCCCAAATGGTGGTAAAGTATCTATATTCCAATCTAAGGGGCAAAATGCTATTACTGGACTGTGATAAGCTAAGCATGTATATTTTAATCCCTAGAGCAACCACTAGAAAAAAAAGTAATACATAGAGATATACTAAGCACTAGAGATAACTCAAAATGGAATCCCAAAGAATGTTCAAGAAACACACAGGAAAAGGGAAACAGATACCAAAAAAATAAGTAAATAACAGAAGTAACAGAGTATACAAATAATAAAATGACAGACTTAAATCCCAATTATATCAAATGTAAATTGCACACAAATTAAAATGTAAGAGTAACTTGT